ATGAATTGCCTGCAGAATAAACCAGTTGGGGTGATTTCGCGCTAACACCTCTTTTGCGATTTTTTTTTTTTTATTTAAACTACAAAAACAAATTAATCGCCCGACTGCGCCAGTCTAGATTACATCTTGCATGTTAAGGATTACATCTTGCATGTTAAGGATTACATCTTTACATGTTTCCAGAGTTCAATGCCCTTTTGCACACTGTGGTGAATCAAAGAATGTGGTATCATCAATTTTTGTCACTTTTCCCACCATTCCTAGGTACCAGTATATACATATACTCCAACCAGAATATTTTATCTTGTACTTAAATTGGCCCAATAAATTTACAAATTGATTGATATTCTCGTCTTGTTAACACCTGTAATCACCTGCTGGGGCTGTTTTTTTCCCATTCATTTTTGTGGATGTTTCCAGACAGTATTGTGTTAATATTAGGATCTTTTTGTTTGATCACTACCAAACTTGATGGCCTGACATGTTTTTATGTGGTATCATCTATTTTGCACTTCACCAGGGGATCTTCCAGACAGGGAAACATGGTGCAGCGCCCTCATAACCCGGTCTTGTGCCTCTTACCTGGAACAGACAGTAAATTATGATCAGGTTTACTCCCTCTTAAACATTTTTCTAGAAAAACCTGTTTTCACCAATATAATATTAATAAGTATTATTGAAATTGGAGAAAATTACAGGGAATATATTCCAAACATTTGATCAAAACCTGTAACAAATGTCTGTTTTATAGAAAATTAAACGCAAAAACATTTAAAATTGTGTAAAAAAAATTGTATCAGAATGAATCTGTGACATTTGTTAAAGATTTTTTATGAAATGAACTTGACTGTAGTTATGTTAGTTGCATAGCAACTACAAGTATATATACTAGTAAGGCGAATGAAGTATCATGGTGCTGCATATCATGCAGGTTTTCTAAAATCTACTAATCAGTGTGAAAGAAATTAATTAACAGCAAATATACAATGTATCAAGTGTACTGCAATGTCATTGTTTGTTCAAATACTGTTCAACAAATTCAACACTGTAATTAAACAAAAATTAATGAGAATTTTACCTTTTATTTGAATAACTGAAAAGTGTTCATATCCTACTTAATATACGATGAACTCTAAATGGCTTTGTCATTTGGAAAGCCCAGCTCATAAAAGTATAAGCAGTTTGTAAAGCGGAATCAAAAAAATTGTTTCCATAGAGACAGTGACGTCTACTCACCCTACATAATAACATATGTGCTCTGTTTGGCAGGCCTACAATTTATGAATGGAACGGTATTAAATGGTGGAATTGAATGAAAATATTAAATTAAATATTATAATATACACTTGTGTTTGCTTGTATGCCAGGTCTGTAGTGAACACAAACGTATTATATTGCGTGTAAACTCAGTCCTCTGTAGTAAACATGGACATGTTATTGCATTTTCACTCAGTTGATTATTATATTCAATTTATTTTTCACTCAAATTTGAAAAAAATTCTGAATTGTCAACAAATCCAATTTCACTTTCCACTACAGAACGTTTTTGTATTTTATGAAATGAAATGTCCTTCATGTTTGCTTTGCCTGTATGGCTTGACAACATTTGTTTTACATATCTGATTCAAAATGGCCAGCTGACAGCCGTTTTGTTTTCAAAAGGCTGTTCACACATAATCATCTTAGGATACATATGTATACAGTGATGTGTAATAAGTGAATTTGATTGGACCATTCACTATCAAGGATTATTTGACAATTATTTTCTACTACAATGTAAGTAGTTGTCAATGAAACACAAAAACTGTTCAATATTCTACCATTTAAAAATTTTTATATCAATGCCATGTTACACGATTGGACGAGACCATGTTTTAATCCATAATATTTAGATATTATGATCCGTTTTTGTTTGATTACTACTGATTTACTTATTTATGGCACAAACTTGATTTGTGTACCAGAACAAAAGCTTATAACTTTGGTTCTACAATGTATGTATTCATGTGTCCCTTGATACATTGTAATGTACTGAGAATTACACACAGGTGATTTTTTTAGTTTTTTGTTTCATGTACAATATAGGGGTATTTTAGGGCATTTATGGTTAAAAAAAGGCCCTTCCATTTTTAGTCAAAAAAATGCTAAAAATGTGTGCTTCATTTTAACTCTGAAGCACTTTGTCTTATTTTCAGAGAAATTTTTACCATTTGCTGTGTTAAAACTCTGAATTGCTTGAGCAATTTTCACAAAAAATTCATTAACTTCAAACCATAGTTTATCAGATACAACAAAAATTATGCTTGGTATGGTTACTCATCTCCAGCAATATCAACAATCTCTGCAATAGTTCAGCTATAAACTCAGCATTCATCAACATGGAAACAAATAAGTAAGGGGTGACGGCTAAGAAAACATGCACTACGTACACCACAGTAGGCTTAAAAACAATTATGCATTGAGTGGGAGTTTGAGAGAAAACATTCAATGTGTAAAATGTCACAGAAATTTGTTATCCTTGGTGTCTTTGAAAAGTTTCTTCAATTTCCATTTGATCTGTTCAGTCGCCCTTTCAAGTTTCTCATGTTGAGCTATCAATCTATCACAATATGTCTTTACACTGCCAAATTGATATTAGGGAGTGTACCTCTTTGTCAAGCCAGAAAATACAAATGATGTTGTCTAGCTCTGCCATAATTGAAATGAGAGGTTACTTGAAGAAGACAATTGAGGGTGTGATTACGACCAAATTACATTTACACTGTCGGAGCCATGTTGGGGCCCAATCCTATCAGAGCTCAACCCAGAGGGTTTATATTGACACCGAACATTGGCTTAAACCAGCTCAAGTTGAATATGTATATACAGCCATTTTTACTGGCATAGGGTATAGAACTTACACCAATACAAGTGAGACAGTATTTTCAACTTAACGCATTCTCTTTTATTCTAATAAAGCTAGTTGACCATCCAATTCAGATACCTTGCATTGTAATAACAGTTTTTTCATTTTTTGCTCACTCTCTTCATTTAAAGACTACGACCAAATCGGAACGTATAATTGCACCATTTCATACATGCCTTGGCCAATTTCATTCAAACTTCATACCAATATCATATACATTCACACATGTATTTGTTTCATGATCTAATTCAAGATGGCTAAAAACTGGATTTCATTCAAACTTCATACCAATATCATATACATTCACACATGTATTTGTTTCATGATCTAATTCAAGATGGCTAAAAACTGGATTTCATTCAAACTTGATATATCCATTAAAAGAATTGTCCTTGATGCGCAACTTCTCTCCTTCAGAATGGCTGACTGGTGGCCATTTTGGCTTTACCGAATGCTGTTTTTGGAGCTACATTTCTAACATGGCTGGACTGATCGCTTTACACATGCATCATGTAACACATTTGCACATGCATCTATTTCAGAATCTGATTCAAGATGGCTGATCATCATTTTTATATGTTAAAAATGCATTATAAATGTTGGTATGAATAAAGGAAGGAATTGTACAAATAAACTGGCTTCACTTTGTATCATGTTTGTCACTAAAAACTTGACGAGGACTTGTCATTGACAATTACTTGGTTTCTTTTGTAGGAGATTATCTGATGTGAATCATGATAATCTGCTGGATGTGGGTGAGTTTGCAATCGCCATGCACCTCATTCATTATCACCTTCGTGGTAAAGATCTTCCATCATCACTGCCACAGTGCTTGGTACCTGAACCACAACCATTGAACAATGTGTCTGTCATGACAGAAAAGGAAAGGGAAATTTATAGACAAGTCTTTGAGAAACAAAATAAAGACAGTACAGGCTATATTACAGGTAGGGCTCTGCTGTTTATGCATCATATATGAAAGATCATTCATTGTGTCTTGGCTTTTAAATGTTATTTTCAAATTCTTCTTGAACACATTCAACAAGATTGCCTTGATATTTGAGGTGTACATTATTAGTCCCTGTTCGGACGAAGTCCGAAAACGGGGACTTATAATTCGGTCACTGTGTGTCCGGCCGTCCGTGCATCAGTCTGTCCAGAGTCATATCTCAGAATCCCTTGGACCGAGTCCATTCATTCATTCTTTGCATGTGCCTAGTACTTTATGCGGAACATATGCACATTCAGTGGTTTTGCAATTCGATTCAAAATGGTCGACTGGCAGGCATCTTGTTTTTTTAGCTCCGCTGTCGACTTTGTCGAGCGGAGCTTATCATATGAGTGATTGTCCGTCGTCGTCGTCCGTGTCAATGTTTTACTTTTTCGACTTCTTCTTGAAAACTACAAGCCTAAATGCTTTGATACTTGGTGTATATGTACCTTGGGTAGACCTCTCTTAGGTTTGTTCATTTCATGTTGATATCTTTAATTCTCTAATTTTGGTGAATATTTTTGTCATTTTTGGTAAAAACTATATTTTCGACTTCTTGTTAAAAACCGCAAGTGCAATTGCTTTGATATTACATCTATAGGTACTACATGTGGACCTCTCTCAGATTTGTTAATTTTGTAATGATATCTTTAATTCTTTAATTTTGGTGAATATTTTTGTCATTTTTGGAAAAAACTGATATTTTCGACTTCTTGTTAAAAACCGCAAGTGCAATTGCTTTGATATTACATATATAGGTACTACATGTGGACCTCTCTCAGATTTGTTCATTTTGTAATGATATCTTTAATTCTCTAATTTTGGTGAATATTTTTGTCATTTTTGGTAAAAACTGATATTTTCGACTTCTTGTTAAAAACCGCAAGTGCAATTGCTTTGATATTACATATATAGGTACTACATGTGGACCTCTCTCAGATTTGTTCATTTTGTAA